GTACAGTTCTGATGCTTTTGCAGAAAAGCATACAGAAACATTTAGAAGCAGGCTTCCATGATGACGGCCAAGAGCTCACATGCCTGCGGGTGACATAGATATTACATTGAGAAGGGGAAATCGCAGTTCGGCTCTCAGCCTTCGATTAATTCAAAGACACACCCGTGTGGACCGAGCTAGCCCGTCAATTGGCAACATTTCGAGCATCAATTCTTAGCGCGCTGGGGCGAATTTAAACACGCTAGTTGTTTATGGGGGACGCAATTGAAAGTATTCCTGAAGTCAGTGCAGACGCATCCTTCGGATTTGATTCTTATCCCCACCTCTCTGAGTTCTCTTCGATTTTAGTCGGTAGTTTAGGGTAGACTCAACGCCGCGTGGAAATAAACTGCGAACTGACGGCATACCATTTGAATTTCGAGTGCAACAACTCGAAAGTTCTACAGTTCTTGGAATCTCTGAGTCTCGAATTTATTCCCCATTGTGTCAGGGGAAGATCGAATCCGAATCCTCCAATTGACGGAACGCTTGTTGAAACGCATTCTTTGAACATAATTAAGTTAGGGGAAGAGAAGGACGTTTCAAAACAGCCTTCACAGTCAACAAACGGTTGGTTTCCTATGCCTGTATGTATGTATGTATATTGTATGTATGTATATTGAAGGGTTACAGGCAGAGCCCTTGATGACCCTATTTAAGTACAGTGCTTTCGCAGATTCATACTCAAAAATAAAATAAAATTGCAGGCATTTAAAATGTGATTGGGTCACAGTTCAATCGTAATCATAAGGTAGTGCATGGGGTCACTGTAAATTAGTGCGGAAGATTGTATATGACAGATTTTACAAAACTGGCTGTGCATAGTCATGCTGTACAAGCCGATTTCTGTCGAAAACTAGACGAGCAAGTTTTCTTTTAAACACACAAACTGTGTCGGCCGTCACCATCTCGCTTGGAAGCGAGTTCCACGGCCTGACAACCCGCTGGCTGAAAGAAAATTTTCTTCGATCTAAACGTGTTCGCTCATTCCCGACTTTGTATGCATGGCCGCGTAGTTGGTTTGTACGGGCGAACTCAAAGAAGTCCTCTGCCCTTAATGAGCAACCCTGGCCGCGAACAATCCGGAACGTCCAGAGTAGACTGCAGTTTATTTGTCTATAAGAGAGAGGGAATAGGCCAAGGAAATTCAGCCTCTCCTGATAAGACAAATGCTTTAGGCCGTCGACCATCTTTGTCGCTCTGCGTTGCACCTGTTCGAGTAAGTTGCCGACAGACATATCAATACGCAGGGTCTATGGCCGATGAGTACCACATTATCGGGTGATAGGGTTGACAACACGTACCTATTGGGGAAAATGGCAGCGGACCGGCTGGGAAACTGAAAATACCGCTGTACCCCCTCATTGTCGTCCAACAGCAAGGGACTTGTGGACAACTCAGGCAGTCGTCTTTCAGTTAGGCGCCTGTATACCCGTGAGGCTACGTTTGTTGAACCTTTTATATAACTGAAAACAGTTTGCAGGAACGACTCGAAAGGAAATGCCGAAAAATTATCTAGCCCACCAAACCATCTCACGTCATCGTGAGGATCGATAAAGCAGTAAGCATTGTAAACGATATCTGCGGGATAATATAAAACACTAAATTCAGTCACCAGACCATTTAAAAGAATGGGTGCAAAATTACTGGCAGTTCTATGTAAACGGGGATGGCAAAATATATACACACTAACAGACAAATCAAGGAAGTGTTGGTGACGGTCAATGTCTATAAAGGACCCTAAAACAACCGGGCCAATGTGAAGGAGAAACTAGCAGCCTTCCATATCTCAAGATAGTCAAGTGTTTGACGCTTGCTCTGCATATCTTTATGAGAACGTTCACTGCGGGGGAGAACTTCTTGAGTCCGGGCCGATATATATGCAATAACTTTTGCATAACACGCAGGCAAACAAGATGCATGTAGTCCATTGGGGGAGCAGGCTACCATATCGATGGATAAGTCCTCGAAGGGGGATATGTCCCTACGGTGCAGTGCCTGTTTTCGTAATTGAAAAAACCTGTTGCCTCGAAGACGCCACAGTATATCGGAAATGCTATGCGGTTTGCAATGGGACGTCCGACATGACAGTATCTGCAGTAACTACAGTTACCTCTACAAAATTACATACCTATTGCATCCATAGTACCCGTTGTGGACTTTTGCCTGTCGGACGTAGGAACGGACAAGGGTGTCGCAGACAACATTTGCTGATTTCAATTTCAAAACATCCTCTGTATGTGAAACCCTCAGGCCGATCTCTAAAGTTTCTTTTATTTCATTGAAACAGTCTCCAAGGAATTCATCCACCGGCTCGGGTTTGCCAAACCCGAGGAACACCTCAGCAACAAAAGGCTCACCAACCACTAAATGGTTGATTCGAACAAGGATTGGCCAAAGGCATTAACCAGATCCCTTAAATAACTTCATCCCATCAATGCGTATTTCGGGAAATTCGGTAGATGGCCGGTGGTGGAGCTCATCGAGCAGACCACATCCAAGACCCAAGTGGATATAGTTGCCCTCTTCCAGGTGCTTGCTACTGCAAGTTTTTGGAGTTCGCAATAGGGTTCTCGGATCCTTAGGTATTTCCGGATGGTAGGTGTGCAGGATATCAACGCGAGGGTCAACGCGCGCAGCACGATTTTGGAAAGATTAGTAAAATTTATATTTCTTAATTCGATTTCTTAATCTTCTGCACAGCTATCCAGTGTAGATCTGGCAAAATGTTCTATTTTTCGTCGTAAGTCATCTCAACTTCCCGCCATGTTTTGTTGATTTATCATAAAGCGGAAATAAAGTCTAATAGTTTTTTACCCAAAACAGCCTCAATTCTATTAAATTTTACCCGCATATATTAAAAGGTTTTCCTCGCAGCACGCCTACGTACCATTTTATGAAATCCGTTACACAATGCCATATACAGCTGACATTTATTTCGGCTATGCTGATGTCCGACGACATTCCATTCTATACCGCCACATGCAGGCTAGTCATCCCTGCATTTTTCTGATGCTATTTTTTGAAGGTTTTTTCTCCTGTTAAATTAATACAATCATTTTTAAATTTTGCTATGGAGTTTTTTTTCACCCCTCGTTTTTCATTTTGCTTAACGGACTTCGAATCTCAAAAACTGTGTATTGCACTTTGTACAGATTTTGCCTACCTCGTCTAAAATTCGCATGTAAATTTATTTTTACTTGCTTTGATGGGACCCCGACGGGTCTTTAATAAAAATAATTGAATTGAATTGAATTGAGGGTTTCCGACTTATCGATCTTGAATGTGTGGCCGGGTCTCGTCAAATGGGCCGCCACCTGAGAGTTGGCGCCATTTCTCCGTACCGCTGCCACGCGTTCGACAATTCGCGTCCGGAGCAGTCTTCCAGTTTCTCTGACGTAGTTGCTTTGTCCGCAAATGCACCTGATCCGGCAAACGACTCCAGATGTTTCCTACCGAGACAGTGGGTCTTTTGGTGTCATCAACTGACGCCTCAAGGTGGCCTCCGGTCTGTGTGCAACTCCAATCCCAAGTGGTGCAAGAAAGCGACAAACGGCCTCGGAGACGTTCTTGATGTACGGGATCGCTCGCCAGAAATTGGGGTCGGCACGGTTTTGTCTCTCGTCTCGTTTGCGCATGCACCGGTTGATGAAGTTGCGCGGGTAACCATTTTCTCTGAAAAGCCGTCGAAGATATTGGGATTTGGCAGCCTTGTCTTCCGGTTCACTGCAGTGCGCCTCAACACTTCGATATAGAGTTCTTACGCAACTGCAGTTGTGACTTATTGGGTGGTTACTGTTGAAGTTCAGTATTTGCGTCGTGTTCGTCGTTCTTCTCAACACTTTGGTCCTTAGGCCACCACGATCTTTGCGACAGACGAGTGCATCAAGGAATGCCAGCTGGTTATTTTCTTCCTCCTCCATTGGCGTGTTGGGACGAGATGTTGAAAGACCATTAGGACGGAGGCAACGATATCGATCCTCATGGTAAAACTTACGGACTTCTTACATCTCTCTCTTGACTTCTTCCTACAGCATGAATTATTCATACTTCCGTCAACCGATATTCTGCACACCTTAATGCCATATTCCGGCCCAGTCTACTAAAATATTTTGTTAAATTCCTTTATAGCTTGTGGTCGGACAATTAGTACTGAGTTACTTTGAGTTCATTCTTTTCAGCAGGCTTCCTAGTCAGCACCAAATTCTGCAGTTGTAAATTTAGCCATAACACCTTCATACTCTGAAAAATTCTGAAGAAATTTGTAGACTGTAGGGCGTAGTAGTAATTCCGTGGTGTTCAGCAGTAAACGTCTTGACAAGGTCACACAGCAGGCAAATATTAGTATATTCTAAAAACTTACGTTTAACCATTTTCCTCTTTAGTTAACCTTATTTTCTCTAATATTCGAACGGTCTCGTTATGTTGTCCTTGATTGTTTTTCCGCGTCATTAATATGCTCATAATGGGTACTCTGGTGGCACTTCTTAATGTAACAGCCAATAAGTAGGTTCGGGAACGGAAAAGGCGATTGGTAACAAGTGATAGTGGACTAACGGCGGGCACTGATAGCATTTATTTTTAGCGTCGTTCGCAAACGTTACTGTTAACTCTCAGGAGGGTAGCAACAGATTTTAAAGCAGCGACCCTCCTTAACATGTTGGACTAGTACTTTGTTGTTTTTTTAAAACGTCAAAAATAGCTTTGCTAATCCAATCATCCTTAATAATGAGCATTTTCTCGTGTTATCTATAATTAAAACGAATGCGCGTGCTGTCGAAGTATATTTTTTACAGTTTGATGGATTTGAATTAGCAATTGCGGTAGGGCGAGTCTATCCCTCCTATTTCAGAAAATTGAAATTGCAGAAAACCTCGGGCGGATATATACTTGCAATCCACGACTGGTAGAACACATACACCGACGAAACTTGTCTATTGAGTCGTTCTCTTGCGCAAAAAATGAACCACGGAAGCCACGGGAGCCACGGAACCACAGCAACTCCCACCAACACAACTTCCCCACCAATGCATCATGTGATGATGATGATGACTGTTTGTCGTGTTCTAATAACTTTCTATTTTCCAGATGTACTTTAACACAGATATGCCTTTTTATCTCCTATTTCGGGAGTGGGAGATTGACACACCCGGAAGTAATTTTGTTAAATTTTTGACACTTTCCTTGAAGAGCTTGCTGGTGCATTTTTCGGATGCTTCTTTTTGGCGATGTTGTACGAAGGTATCAAGGTAAGACATCCGGTTAAATAACTTTTTACACCTGTCACCGTTTGGTATAGGAGAGAGAACGTCTAATTTTCGTTTTAATTGGTCTGCTAGCATGTACAATATCTTGAAATTGTAAATGGGGTTGCCGTCCAAGCAGCAGTGTCCTTCATTCTGAAGAAAATATCCGTATGCGATACATTTGGTAGCAACAGATCTCATTTGGTGTTTTGGTGTTACAGGGAACCAACCTTATGCATAGCTATAATAATCAGTTTTGCTAGCTGGCATTCCGCTCTTCTGCGGTTTGTCCCATGCTCCCATACACAATTTCGGTGTCTAACCGCCATGTCTTCTTTGATTGACTCTTCGCTTCATCACCCGGACGCGTATTTTCCATTGGCCTGCCACAGTTTTTGAGGTGGTGAAATCAACCATCCACTCAGACAAAAATAGGTACAGGAAACATGCCCCGGAAGTGATGTAAAACCATTAAGTAATCGGTAAGAGATGACGGGACGTGGGCGACATAATTCGTAGTCTTCGTTAGTTAATTGACTTTGATTTCCTCAACCCTCAGACAAGTGTGCGTGACTGCTCGCCATTACCTGAGTGTAGCGTACTTGTGCTGACCTTGCCGGCCCTGTTTTTGCAAAATTGAATTTTTCCATGAAGGGGATGTCATCCGGAGTCTCGCTGACCACTAAAATCTATCCAACCTGTATTCCTCCGCCTAGTACCAGCGGATTATTCTGCTGGTAGTCCCTCGGTTTTCGATCCAAGTGTTGTTGATGAAACTTTCTCGCCTCCCTCTCCAGGCCGGCGTCTCATTTCGATTTTAAGCCTTATCGTTATTTATATGTTAGTAATTCATTTATTCCTTACCACCCTTACACCACTGTTTACTGTGTGACTCGTAAATGACTGCGCAAAGCCCACCAATTCGACATATTTTTTTCCTTTAATCACTGCAAGTCAAGTTTCCTATTGTCTCACGTAATCCATTTTCTTCAGCCTGCTCTATTGTTTTCGTTCTATGGAGCGTGCTGTCGCCGACATAGTTCAAACAGCGATTCCTTAATTCACAAAGTCTTGGTCAGGTTTTTCTTTGATACAGTATCATAGGGTTACCTTATCTTGATACCTCTATCTGTGTTGGATGAAGTGCACGTAGGTAACTTCCCATGGGTAAGGCAGCAGCTCACAAGTGGAGTAATTAACGTGAGCATCCAAGGCATGAACTTGTGTCTGTTTCTGGAGGGATCTTCTTTTGTTTAATAAGTTACGTGACCGACTCATTGCCTACTAAGGCTCGAAAAGATGTAAAAATATTTGATCCCTTGAACTAGTCGAAAGCTCCGAAGCATTATCTGTGGTCTGTTTGACGCTTTCTCATTCTTTTTAACTTAGAGCTTTCGTGAACGTCTTCTGGCTGGAAATTTTGCCGCCCCATGTCCCCACTGTCACGCCGAAGATTTAAAACGTAATAACGAACACACCTCAACAGCTTGCTCATCACGAGGACCCGGAGGGCCGGACCATGCCGACACTCCCTCAGCAGTCCTAGAAGGCCACGTCTCAGGACGACCGCGGTCTGGTGGAGTGTACGTTGTTAATTTTGTAGACCAAATGTTTGCGACCAGGAGCAACACGCCTTTTTTGATCCTGTCATTATTCGATTCTCAACGGCGCCCTGTTGGATATTGCGTGCCTCTAAATTTGGGATTGAGGACGTTCGTATCCACCATCTCCTTGTCTAACCTGGCTTTATTCACACATGTTACGATTACTGGAAGTGGAATCATACGCGGCCACGTAGAATTAATTCTTGGGCCGCAGCATTCACTATAGTGATAGTAAATCATCTAAAGTAGATGCCGAGAACTTTTTATAGTCGGAGTACTGCAGATATTGGCAAATTGTCCTCGTGCCTGAGCATTGCCATGCCGATTGAGCATCTAATTCATACTAGGAATTTTGTAGTTAGCGATCATGGTCTCTGCATTTCCTTCTATAAGCTCCTGCAGAATGACAGACAAGAAGTCGGAAAGACGCTGCCTGTCTTTAAACTTATCTAGTGGCCGCCCGGCACGTCCACTTGTGGTAAAACGGTCTTTCGCGAAGGTTATCCGTGAAATAAGATATGCTTATTGCGAATAATGGGTTATGGGTTAGTAGCGATGTGCTGGCGGACTGCAGAGGATTGAGAATCAGGACATCTACCGTATAAAATGTCCCCTCGCCTGATGATGGTACTAACATGGCGACACAGGCCAGCTTCTAATGCCACCGCCCCTACACATAGCCAAATATAAAAAGTTATTGTCTTAAACTAACCCACGATGTGTTAATTGTACATAGACAGAGCTGGTAAGACTAGAAGCCTATGAAGTCACAGCAAGGCCTTGGGGTAATAACACAAAGTTTATGTCTCTCTAGTCTTTTTTCGCCTGCATCTGATCCCGCGTAGCTAGCGCTGCGTGTGTAGAATCTGTTCACTTACCGACTAGTTAAGATTTAACTAGAAGACGCTCATGTCTACGTCACCTACCGGCCAACTACTACTCGCAGCTGTAAATCGTGGCCGGAAACGTTCACAGCTATCGATCGGCCGAATCGGCCTCTTTACCCCCCAGGCGTTTCACATCCATGTTCCAACTCATCACTGACGATTGCATCAAAGGCGGCAGGCGCACGTAGCATCTGTATCCGATAACCATAGTATTCTTCGTGCGCCCATCATAGCTATCTTTGTTTTGGGTTTCATAGAGTTAATCCCTTCTCCGAGCGGTCGGGCTCTTTCTGTATGAATTTCTTTACAAGAAGTGCATGACATAGCTTTCTGCCCCTAAGAAGGGGTCGCAGCACGGGTTGTCCTTCAAACTGCTCGAATTTTTACGCCTTACGACGAAAATTACCCACAAGGACACCGATGTCCTACTTGACCGTTTGTGCGACCTAGATATCCAGTTGTCAACAGTAGTGAATAGAAGTGCGGCAGTAGAAATATGCATAAAAATTCTGCAATAAACTCTTCCTGGGGCTGCAGAGCGCCATTTATGCGTACTGGAATTAGTTTTTTGAAGGAAAACGGCCGCCGACCTGCGAAATTCTACCCATTACGACGCCATCCGTTCCCTGTGTCAACCCCTGCTGAACTTATATGAATATGTGCGTGGGTTGTCTTCTACATTTTGGAAGAGAAAGTAGAGACAGTCTACCTTCCTCATTTTTAACATTCGAAAAAATGGGGCGAAGGCATATGTTCAGTTATTTCCACAAACCATCTATGCTCTTCACGCGCGTTCAACAATCTTCGGGGAAATGGATGTGCTGACTGGTCTCGTGGTAAGGACTTAAAGTGATGGCCTCGTTTGCGTATCTCAGCTGTATGGTAGCTACACCTCGAAGGATACCGGCGTCGGATGAATGGAGCCTTTTCTTGCGTTCGAGTGGAGTTTTGTGGTGTTGCAGTGCAGTTAACACACCCTTCAGCGCTTTTGCACGTCTCATCAAGCGCCTGCCATACAATAGTGCGAATGCCACAAGTGCCTCTATGGGTTAGCTCTGTAAAACGTTTTGATGTCGACGTGCTCTATAATTTCGGACCTACATTATGAGTGTGGGTGGGGAGTTTTCGCACTTCTCTGAGAACTACGGCTCCATCGAAAATCGATGAAAAAATGTGTACCACGTGGGAAGTCCCTTTTTTCTGGAGTAACTGGTGACCAGAATTTTGCATAATTAAGGCCAGCTTGCTGCGGCATATGAACTTAGTTATTGGTCACGTTCCATGCTAGTGCTGATCACCACCTCGTCTAAGAAATTCCTTCTGTTCAAAACCATGGTCGGAACTCCCAGCCAATGCCTCATGCTTTTCGTCGTACAATGTAAGTTGTTTGTGATACTCGATAAGGTCTGGATGGAAGACTGGTGAGCCTTCCTTTGCAGAATGCCTTTTGCATCGCAGTAATCATCGTCTCGGGTATGGCGGGACGCCAAGGGGCGGCTCCGGCCGCACCAGCTACCTGCGCCCCCTCCCACCTCCGGTCTTCTTGACTATGCCTTGGCGTCAAGCCCAGGTGGGGGGGAGGAGAGAGAGAGCGGTAGACGTTGCACAAGTCTACGTTCATTGTAAGCTAAGTCACGTACAACCACCGTGCCTGCCGCACCTTGCTGTCAAGCACCCGGTTGAAATCGTCATCAGCTATAGTCAAACCTAGAATCCTAGTCTGACGTGCAATTCCAAAGACAGGTCTGCAGCTAGCCGAACTAATAGTCATCCAGTCAACCCAAGATTCTCTAATTGAGTGCATGACAGCAAGTTCTTGTGTGATGCCGGAAACGCAGAGGCCTATCACAAGTCATACACTCACAAAAGCCCTGTCTTCCCTTTTCGATGACGCCCTGAAGTTGTTCTGCTTCAGACTCCAATGTCATGATTACCCAATTAAAAATCAAATATCCCAGTACGTTATCCATTTGGTAAAGTGACCCACCGGAACTGCACGGGTAAGCTACATGCGTCGCAAGTCCTTTCTTTCTTATCCGAATGGAATTTTATATAGATTGAAGTGTTTTAAGTCTTGACTCCTTTTTTGCCCCCCCCCCGTTCCCTTGATGCAGAGACTTGGGCTACTTTACGAAGATTCATCTTATGCAGACCGGCCTTCACGTGCTTCACCTGATCGTTTCCTACATGGCAATGCTGGTCGTAATGACATATAATGTCTACATGTTCTTGGCCATCGTCCTCGGCGCTATGTTTGGCTACTTCATCTTCTTTCGGCGTCGTTTCGTCATGTTCAACGAGCAGGACTGCTGTCATTGAGTCGACGCCGCTATTGTCCGCCCCACGGAATTCCAACATTTCAGTACTTTTTACCGATCAACAAACGTCTGACTGACAGTCTCGATTGTGCCGTCCTCGCTTCCTTTTTCTAGTCGTCTTCTGCCTCCCCCCTCCCACCTTCTCCTCCGTAAGACCCTTTAATGTGCTGACAAGCCATGAAGTAACTGCTCTGAAGTCTTTCATCAACACATACAAACAGTGGTCTTGCCGTTATTGGCTTCCCGCAAAACGTCTTTGTTACGTCTTGTTGCCTCACGAACTTGCCAGGAAAAAAAAGTGAATTAAGCCCTTTCCTATCCTCCTACCCCGTTTTTCCGTTTAACACTTTACCCCACCCCTTGTTGTTTGTTTCTCCGGCTTGAATAACTTTTATATCAGAATGAGTTTGCTGTGTCCCGCCTGGGTGTTCGGGTTCACCGCTTAAAGGAACGGCTCAGATCTCGATTTATCTCAGCTGGTCGTCCGTCTGTAGACAGTTGTAGGCATGAGAGCGTGGCAGTGAGCGCTCTGGAAACCAGGGTAAGAGAATATGTTAGTGGGTTAGATCCGTTAGCCTCATCTGAACAGGTTTATGCTTGACTGGAGCGTATTGCAGTAGCCTTCAGCGTCCAAACTGAGACCGGTAAGCATCAGTGTGTAGAACGTTTCACCATCAGGTATAGTTGGATGTCCCAGGCTCTTGACCACTGTAAGAGACTGCCAAATGCAGTTAATTCAACCCTTAAGTTCACAGTGGAGTTGGAGACGGACAGCTAAGTGCCCCCACAAGACGTCCACGTGTGATCGCTGTAGTAGAGAATGGCAGACAGCAGTTTTCACTAAAAAAGACCACAAACCTGCAGTACGGGGACTGCTGTCCTCAAGCGCAGTGAACTGTTGTCCACAGGTTTTGTAAAATCCCTGTGACACCACGCATTCAGCAGCCGACACCTAGTGGGAATCGCGCTGATATCTTCCTGGGTCGGAACATCTCTAGCCCCGCTTAACGGGAAGAGGCGATCACTGGGACACCTTCGAACTGCGTTCATATTTTTTAACGGCGAGCAGTCACTCATTGCGTCGGTTTGCGGTCGCTTGTTTCCTAGTCGGGCATAATGTCTTCCGCCATGTGAGTTCGCGGGTGGGCCATCTACCCCTCTCCACTGACTGTCACATGGCTTTTCTTCTCAAGTTACATTACTGTGATCCAGCGATCACTCGATTGATTGGTCATGGCTGCATTTACAAGCACTCATTTGTACATACTGGACAGCTACCAGATTTGAATGACTTCCGAAGCTCCAATGAGAGATCGCGCCTGGAAGTGAGGTCTGAGAGGCGGTGACCACTGTTATGACACAGTTTAGAATAAAGCTAAAGGTATTCGTCCACGTCAGCTCGACTATCGCCGACATCGTCCACCGTGTGCCCCATAGCACTGGATGAAGGACGGTGAATTGTGCGTGCGTCAGTTTATTAGTGATGGCAGACTTGCGAGGCATCTGCCTCACTCCTCCTTCACTCACCTGGACCCGGTGCCAATACAGAGTCAGGACTATCAGAGGGGGGCTCACAACAGCCGCACTCAGAAGGAGCCAGTGCAGCCTGACTCTGTTTCGAGGGGATACAGTTACCCTGTCAGTTGACAGCCAATCCGCGCAGGTCAGTCCTCTGATGCGGGGACTGAGGGCAAATGGTTGGTGCGGCATGAGGCCTGCGCTTAGGTGTGCCACCACACACTCTCATGGGCGACATTTGTCGCGCGATGCGCTGAATCTGTGCATCCTGCTCAACACAGGCCGTGCACTAATCCGGCCCCCGTTTTGGTTCAGCACATCTTCCGTGCACCAGTACTGGGGTTCTCCTCTGTCCACACACTGCCGAGTACAGGAGGTAGTGAATTACGAAGTAAGCTGATCGCCTATAAGGTGTGTTTTCCACGATAAAAACGACGAATTTAGAAATGCATTAAACAGGCTTCTAGCTAGTCGTCGCTTCTAGATTAGCTCCTATGAGTAAATGGACTATTCTGGAAACATTAACGAGTTTTCCAAATGGTCCGCTGGTGACCGACTGTCATTACACTCAGCACATTTATTTGACTGCATTTCATCTTTTTGGGTCTTTATAAACCCTGAAAATTTTGAAAAAATGACACGCTAATCAGGAAATGTTAACCCATCTCTGGAAAAAGTGTTGTGCTTTTTCTTTGTTTGGCTCGGCAAAATTCGTGCGATTACGACATTTCTTCAGCACACGCAGACTAACAACAACCGGCGCCTGACTGACAGTCTGGTACGAAAGTAAGTTTTGCATCGCTGCCGAAACGCGCAACATATACCTGCAGTTTCCATGGTTAAGACGGCTTACAATACGGTACTTGCTCTCCTCAAACAAAACCGGGTCGATAATTGATAAGATTAAGGGAAATCTGACCCGGCTTCCTCTGAACTTCTGTACCGAGATTTGGGATTGAAACCCCTTAAGCGACGGCTAAAGTCATCAACTGCACATTGAACTAGGAAAAGATGATCATGTGGGGGCCTTTATATTATTTATTTTTGACGTTAATCATAAGATCTATTCACGCGTGACAGCGTGCTACTAGTAGTTATGAAAGTCACATTTGACACTCAATGATGACCTAAGTAATAGCTTCTTTAAAGACCGCAATGATTCCGTCTCCAATAGTGTGCGGACAACTTTCATTTCTTCTATTATTTTTTTTGGAATGTGACGTCTTTCTGAAACAAATTGTTGGAATGGAAAACGTCTGCAGTCTTGTAGACATTTGGAAGGGCAGAATGCCTTTTGAGCAGTTTATTATATGGAGGCCTGTTGTCACTGCACGCAGAGTAAACATCATGATCGGTGTCTATTTCCGCATTTTATGGACATCTAGAGGCTCCTTTCGAGGCAACTGGCTGTGGGTGGTTTGATAACCATGGTCGGAAATAAAAACTCCGGCGGTTTATTATGAGAAGTGTGATTTGTTAGGTTTTAAAAGTTGAATAACTTTTATCCTCCAGATTCAGAATCGAAGTTTGAAGCAGTATCCCAGTAACCGGATATATAACTAAAACCGACAATCAATGAACAAATACTCGGTAATTAAACCGTTTTCAATCACACTGCGATTTGCAAAAACGACGAGTAAGATACTCAACCAAACATGTAGCATGCCCTCATGAATCAGTGGACTTAGATTCACGTTCACGACCACTTCGCAGCGCAAACTCACACTAACTATCAGGTTATTTTTAAGTTTCACGTATTGCATCAGATATTCCATTTCAGCACCACATATTCCGAAAAAGAATCAATTGTTATTTGCTGTTCGTAGCAAACAAAAAATGTCTACTGAATATTTATCTGAATTCCTCGAATGGAAGCGACCAGCGAGGAAGCAGGTAAAGGGGGAGGGAACGAGGGATACTGATATTCACGATGGTATTACCGACAAAGACCGGGGAGACTGGAATGGACATTTCTGGCTTATTAGCCGTCGCCAGCCAGTCATACCCAGCTCCGAAGTGTGGAACACCCGAGGCTCGAACTCGCGACCCGTTAGTTAGAAGTCCCGATCGAAACCGACAGGACAACGCGCCCCTGGCTCAGTGGTTAGAGGCGTCGACTTCTAACTAGTAGCTCGCGAATTCGAGCCTCGGGTGTTCCACACTTCGGGGTTGAATATGACTGGCTGAGGACGGCTAATGAGCCAGAAATGGCCATTCCAGTCTCCCTTGTTTTTGTCAGTGATAGCACTCTGCCTATATCATGCGCCGCTGCTGGTTTGGCTCGAGAGAGATCCCGTAAGGCACAACGGAACGAGTGAGTTCCGTAAGAACGATCGGTGAGCGCCCCCTCTACCGTCATACTTATATTCCGTAATAGCTGTGAAATTGTTGTCTTCCCCAGCCTCGTTTGGCCTTGCATGAGTAAGTTGTCACTTCAGGGAGTGCGATTTCTGCGAGCAAAGTTTGGCCTTTTTTCAACCATGACAGCATAGACCCTTCCTACTTCTGTCACTGGTGTGATCAAACATTCCACTATGAAAGCGCTCTAACTGTTCTGCATATCTACTGGAACAGCCGGAGCCAATTTGGTAAGAACCCGGGGTGGGGCATCAGGTGTCAGCTGTGTCACATGCGGTAACTGAGCCTGTACCGCCAGAATGCGCTTTGCTGTTGCGTCAGATTTAAATGGGGACTCTAAATACGTGTGACACACATTGGAGGGAGGCTATGAGCGCGATTGCATTCCAGTTTGGCTTAACCCCGGTTCGCCACTGGTACGTGGCATGAGAGCGGAGACAGTGTGGGTCTGATCCAGCTTCGTATGTCCCCACTGTAGTTAATCAGACGTCCATTCAGACGATGACGTCTCGCTGTCAGTCGAGACTGGAAAGGTTACCGACTGGCGACATAAGTCTGTTCTCCGCTCAACTGAGGGTCAGGCTCGAGTGTGTGTGTGTGTGTGTGTGTGTGTGTGTGTGTGTGTGTGTGTGTGTGTGAGCAGTGACC